TTGCAAAACTTCATTTGGGGGGATTTAAACAGAAGTCAGGATTAGGAGAGCTATTTGATCAGCGGAGGCTCACCACCCCCTGTCCATCCAGTAACTGTTTCTGAATATTTCACCTCTAATATCCTCTCGGCTTGATCGTTTCCAAACATGGTGAATGGTTGCTGAGGTTGGGTCAGGAGACTGTCCTGAGGACCTCCTACAGCAATGTTTGCAGCAAGATGATTGGACTCCAACAACAACCGCTCTGCACCAGGTACATATTTTCCTAATCAACCTGTTCAGAGATGTTATGACACACCTCTGGAGCAGGTGGGAACTTGAAATCCACACCTCCTGGCTCAGAGGTAGGCACACTACCACTGCACAAGGAACAGCTCCAGCCACGGAAGGGGTATCACCTGATTGCTGTTGACTTCCATTTCCCTAAGGTTCTTCGGTCCCTCGCTCTGCTAAGTGCTGTCTTCATGTCAAAGGTACTTAGTCTCATTTCAGTTCTGGAGTGCAGTTCTTATGCCTGTGTTTAAACTAGGACTGTAATATTGTCCCGGGACGATCGATCGTAGTAGAACCCTTAACTACCCATCGGCGAGCAACAATTTGATGAGTGGAAGTTGCTTGATGCAGCTGTAATGCTAGAGACGCCGCCTAAAGAAAATGTTTGAATGAACCAAAAGATAAAACAACGAACTGCAGATGCTGGAAATCTGAAACAAAAACAGAAATTGCTGGAGAAGTTCAGCAGGTCTGGTAGCATCTATGTGGAGAAAGCTAACTTAACGTTTTGAGCCCAGGGACCCTGAACCAAAACATTAACTCTGCTTTCTCTCCACAAACACTGCCAGACCTGCCATGTTTCTTCAGCAATTTCTGTTTCAATCAACCTGTCTGGGTGTGTTATGAAATACCTCCACAGCTATCACATCCCAAGGTGGGATTTGAACCTCCAACCTTCTGCCTAGAGGTGGGGACGCTACCTACTCTGCCGCAGGAGATGCCTTCTCTCATATTGCTGATCATCCTAAGTAGACTGGGGACATAATTGGCCTTTTTTGTTTCATTTTATGGGATGTGGGCATCGCTGACTGGGCCAGCATTTATTGCCTGTCCCCAGCTGCCCTTGAGAAGGTGGTAGTGAGCTGCCTTCTTGAACCACTGCAGTCCACCTGCTGTAGGTTGACCCACAATGAAGGAATGGTGATATATTTCCAAGTCAGGATGGTGAATGGCTTGGAGGGGAACTCAGAGGTGGTGGTGATCCCATGTATCTACTGCCCTTGTCCTTCTAGTTGGACATAGTCATGGGTTTGGAAGGTGCTGTCTGAGGATCTTTGGTGAATTTCTGCAGTACATCTTGTAGGTGGTACACGCTCCTGCTACTGTGTGTTGTGTATACTCCATCGTCTTGCACACCATTGTCTTAGCAACAGAGGAAAACTAACCTGGTTGCTAAAAGGACAATCCTCTGTAATATTTCAAGGTTTTCTAGAATTTCTGTATTGGTTTCAGTAAAACATATGTCAAGTCTCTTTACTTACATGGTACAACACCATCTTCACTATCACCTGTATGTATTCTCCATCCAATAGCTCGCCCCCTTTTCTCATCTGTCTCACTGAAGGGGAATATTTTGAGTTAATGTTATTTGGGATTGAGAAAGATGAGGTGAATGCAGGGAAAGTTATATATCGCACTGTGGACTACAGATTGGTGACAATTATGAATGTGAGTTCAGTGTTTAGCCCAAACATTAAACAGGTTGGTTTGGAGTTGGGGTGAGGAGGGAAGATGGGGAAGGGTTGCATTTTTGCAGCAGCAATGACTACAAGTGAAAATGATGAGCTGGAAGCAAATTCCAGATGATCTGCATCACTGCCTTGTCATTGAATCAAAGTGAATGAAATGATCCTTCCACTGGAGGTTTGAGTTGTACGTTCCATCCACTCTCAGTCGTTTCCTTTTGCTCTTGGTGAGAGTTCCAGAACAGGTTATTTCTTCTCCTTCTCCAGCCTCAGTGCCTGACTGATGATTGTGGGCTTCTGAAGACTGTACCTAATCCATCATAGCAGCTGCACAGCAGAACTGCAATCCCCTGTGCTTAGCAGCAAGCAGGCAAGCCTGAACTGTTGAAAATATATTAGAATCTGTGCTTACCCCTATTAATCTTGCTCTTCTATTTACATATTGTCCTTTTCGTGACCCCCATCCAGTTTATCACTCTACCAGAGAAGCAAACAGGTACATGTGACCTTATGGCCTTGTAGCCGACAGAATTTATCTGATTTAATACCATGTTTTTCACTTGCACCTGTTGTTGCATTAACATTAAAATCCCCAGGCAAAGCAAATATTAAAATTTCTTGCAGACACTGTGGGACTTGAACTACAGGTAGGTTTTTCCAGATGGCGTGGTTTAGGAAGACCTGGGGGAGCACACCGACATCAATCAAAGCGGCCCATGACCATCAAGGAACATTGGCTGGGGGTGAGGCCTCTGCCAGTCACTCGGGCAGATGTCCTGCCTCAGAGAGCTTTGGCCAATCTGATTGTAGCTATAGGCCCAACAGCACCAGTAGCAACAGTGGGCATGAAAGGGACTGCAAGCTGTCCCCACACTCTACTCTTTCTCAGTGAAATAAAACTGATTAGACAGCCCCCAGTGACAAACAAAAAATCAGAAAAGCTTCATGGAAAATTATAACAGAAATTCGTCAAAATTTAACCAAGCTCTCATCTCCAGGGGTGCTGATGCATCCCAGCCGTTGTGGGGCCCACCAACCCCTAAGGACTTTTATTGTGCTGGTGGACTCTGTTCCCTGTCTGTATGGTCACCTGAACAGGGATGTAACCTCAGGAGAGGGGCAGACAGTCAGGAACATCCAGGTACCTAGGTCTGGGATCGGGTAAGTTCAAATGGTGACAGCTTGGAGGTGTTCTTACAGCAAGGCAGGAGGGTGAGGTTCCATCTCCACAACATTAATGGGCTCCTTATACATTGGGCTGTGTGTCTTGTGTTGCCGTACATGTAAAGTCTCCAACCCTGACAGTTTACATAACATGAGTCTTTAGATGTCCACTGCTGCTTGGGTTCAGGCAACGAACCCAAACTAGTGCAGTGATTACCCATGGCCCTTCCTGATCTGTATGCAGGAACACCCGACAGTTTTCAGCTGTGGCTCAGTGATTTTTTTTTCTTTATTCATTCATGGGATAAGGGTGTCGCTGGCCAGGCAGCATTTATTGCCCATCCCTATTTGCAGTTAGGAGTCAACCACATTGCTGTGGGTCTGGAGTCACATGTAGGCCAGACCAGGTAAGGATGGCAGCTTTCCTTCCCTAAAGGACATTAGTGAACCAGATGGGTTTTTCCAACAATCAACAATGGATTCATGGTCATCGTTAGATTCTTAATTCCAGATTTTGTTTATTGAATTCAAATTCCACCATCTGCCATGGTGGGATTCGAACCCGGGTCCCCAGAACATTACCTGGAAAGATGTGGAAGCATTGGAAAAGGTGCAGAGGAGATTCACCAGGATGTTGCCTGGAATGGAGGGGAGGTCTTATGAGGAAAGTTTGAGAGACCTAGGGCTTTTCTCTTTAGAACGACGAAGGATGAGAGGTGACTTGATAGAGGTGTACAAAATGATCAGAGGTATAGATAAAGTGGACAGCCAGAGACTTTTTCCTAGGGTGGTGGTAGCTATTACGAGGGGGCATAGTTTTAAAGTGAGTGGCGGTAGATATAGGGGTGACAGCAGAGGTAGGTTCTTTACACAGAGTGGTAGGGGAGTGGAATGCATTGCCGGAGAGGGTAGTGGAGTCGGCCTCATTAGGGGCATTTAAGCGGCTATTAGATAGGCATATGGATGATAGTATAAGGTAGGGGTGGAGGTTAGATAGACCTTAGATTTAGGGTAAAAGTTCGGCACAACATCATGGGCCGAAGGCCCTGTACTGTGCTGTACTGTTCTATGTTCTAATGTCTCTGGATTAACAGTCCAGTGATAATGCCACTAGGCCATCGCCTCCCCCTAACACAGGTAGCTCCCAATATGAAAGCTGCATGTTAAGGTCCTTGAGTACATAATCTCGGCTGACCGTACTGAGGAAGTAAAAACAGAAGCTGCTGGAAAACCTCAGCAGGTCTGGCAGCATCTGTGAAGAAAAAATCAGAGTTAACGTTTCAGGTCTGTTTTTGTTCCTGATTTACAACATTTGCAGTTCTTTCAGTTTTTATTTAGTACTGAGGGAGTGCTGCATTGTTAAAAGGTGGTACAGTGGTTAGCACTGCTGCCTCCCAGTGCCAGGGACCCAGGTTCAATTCCACCTTTGGGTGACTGTCTGTGTGGATTTTGCACATTCTCCCTGTGTCTGTGTGGGTTTCCTCCCGGTGCTCCGGTTTCCTCCCACAGTCCAAAGATATGCAGGGTAGGTGGATTGGCCATGCTAAATTGCCTGTACTGTTCAGGGATGTATAGATTAGGTGGGTTATAGGTGGATGGGTCTGGGTGGGATGCTCTGAGGGTCGGTGTTGACTTGTTGGTCCGAAGGGCCTGTTTCCACTCTGTAGGGATTCTATGAAGCGCAGCCTTTCAAATAAGAGCTGAAGCTGAGTCCCTGTCTGCCCTCTCAGTTGGACATCAGACATTCTGTAGCGTTATTTGCTGAACAGCAAGCAAGTTCGGCCTGGCCAATATTCATCCTTCAACTAATACCACCAAAACAGATCAGTTGCTCATCATTTCTGTTTGTGAGAATTTGATGTGTACAAACGTATCCTACATAACAAGAGTGACATTTTGAAAAATACTTCATTGGCTGCAAAGTGTTTTGAGATTATGAAAGGTGCAATATTGAAAGGTACTTCCAACAAAATCGAGGAATTTAAGAGCTCAAGTTTGAAATTCTCTGCATAACTCTGTGGTGTGTGTTGTCTTTATATCACTCTCCATGAGAGATTCCTTTGATCCATTCTGATTCTTTGTGCCTTTGTGTTTCAGGGTACATTCCCAGCTATCTGGAGAAAGATGAACCCTGTGTAGTTTGCGGTGATAAAGCGACAGGATACCATTACCGCTGCATTACATGTGAAGGCTGTAAGGTGAGGCTGGAGGCAGATAACCCCACTATACCCAGCTAAACAGATGGTAACGTTCAACTTGATTTTAATAGAGTCCAGAGTTTACATTTTTTACATTCGTGTTTGCTGTGTTTTCCCTTATTCTAATATGCAAAGTGTTGGCAGTTTGTGCATTTGTCAATCCTTACATTTTGAAGACCGCTGCTGAAACAACGGATTCAGTTCCTTATTCGGAAAACTCCAGTGCCTCAAATGAACAGGCATCCTTCATACAGGATTTGTAGGCAGTGCCAGCAAAGTAGTTAAACCTTAATAAGTGTTGCAGCCAAGTAAACTCTGCCCTCAGCTCACTTCAACCATGGGAACAGCCCCATAATGGTTACGTCACTGTGAGAGTAATGGTAAGTCAAATAGCACCACAGCAGTTAACTTCAGTTAATTAAACACATCTGGAATAAAAATCTGACCCCACAACCAAAGAGATATTTCCCTCCCCACCCCAGCTGCCTTTCATAGGGACCGCTCTCTCCGCAACTCCCTCGTCCGCTCCACACTCCCCACTAACCCCACCACTCCCCGGCACCTATCCCTGCAACCACAGGAAGTGCTACACCTGCCCCTACACCTCCCCTCTCACCTCCATTCAAGGCCCAAAACAAACCTTTCATATCAGACAGGGGTTCACCTGCACATCCGTCAACTTGGTCTACTGTATCTGTTGCTCCTGATGTGACCTCCTCTACAGCTGTGAGAACAAGCGCAGTCTCGGAGACCGTTTCGTGGAGCATCTGTGCTCTGTACACGACAAACGACAGTACCTTTCGATCGCCAAACATTTTAACTCCCCCTCCCACTCCCTGGGTGACATGTCCATCCTGGGCCTCCTCCAGTGTCACAATGATGCCACCCGGAAACTGGAGGAGCAGCACCTCATTCTGTCCTGGGAGCCAACAGCCCGATGGCCTAAACATGGAATTCATCAGTTTTAAAATCTTCCCACCCCCTGGCCTCATCCCATGTCCAACCCTCCCTCTCGTCCCCACCCTCTTGACCTGACACAACCTGTCCATCTTCTTCCCCATCTATCCACCCCACCCTTCCCACTGACCAATCCCCACCACCCCCTACCTGCATCCACCTGTCACCATCCCACCTATCTTTCCTCAGCCCCACCCCTCCTCCCTCTATTTATTTCCCAGCTTCTTTCCCCCTCCCTTTTCCGAAGAAGAGTCCTGACCAAAAACGTTAACTTTCCTGCTCCTCTGATACTGCCCGGCATGCTGTGTTCCTCCAGCTCCATACTGTATTGTCTGTGACTCTAGCATCTGCAGTTCCTGCTATCTCTGGAATAAAAAGCTGGTCTCAGTCATAGTGGCCGTAAACTACTGGATTCTTATAGAAAAGAAAAATCCACCTGGTTTATGATTGACATTTAAGGAAGATCTGTTTGCCTTACCTGGCATGTTTTATATGAGACTCCAGATGCATAGCCTTGTGATTATCTTTAAACTGCCCTCTGAAACGGTTAATCAAGCCAATCACTTATTAGCAAGATGGGTTCCCACATCTCATGAGCAATTTTAAAAAGCCTCCATTTTTAAGCAGATAACCGTGAGATAGTGATTACAAGTTAAAATTCTGGCTAACTTTATTCCGTCTTTTTTTTTAAATTTGCACACAAGTTGTGAGCATCATTGGTTCGGCCTACATTTATTTCCCATCCCTAACTGCCCTTGAGAAGGAGTTGGTGAGCTACTTTCTTGAGCCTCTGCAGTCCATGTATTGTAGGTACAGTCACAGTGCTGTAAGGAGGGGAGTCACAGGATTTTGACCCAGAGGCACTAAAGGAAGAACGATATATTTCCAGATCAGGTTGGTGAGTGACTTGGAGTGGAACTTGCAGGAGGTGGTGTTCCCATGTATCTGCTGCCCTTGTCCTTCTAGATAGTAGAAGTCACGCATTTGGAAGGTGCTGCCTAAGAAGCCCAAGTGAGTTGCTGCAGTGCATCTTACAGATGGTACACACTTCTGCCACTTTGCATTGGTAGTCAAGGGTGTGTCATAATTGTACTATTCCTGAAATCAGATAACACGATCAAAGAACTATTGGAATCTTCAGCTCTGTGTGGCTCAGAGTTCTGGATTAAAGGTTCTGCCTGGATTCTGTGCTCAAATTCTAAAGTGGGACTTCAGAACCACAACCTGGGCTATGTTTTCAAATCCAACACTAATACTAGAGTTTCTAATCTATGTCGATATGAAAGGAGTGCTGTACTGTTAGAGGGAGTGTACTCTGAGAAGAACATTAAAGCAAAGCCCTTTCTGCTTGATCAGGGACATGTAAAAGACCCCATGGCAAAATTTAAACAAAAGCAGGCAATTATATTTAATAGTCATTTTTTTTAACCAACAAACCAGGTCATTTGGTTATGCTGCTCATTGCAGCTGGTGGGAGTTTGCTATTTGCACTTATCTCATCTGCTATTGCAACTTAGCTCATGAATTACTTTCAAGGTATCAGGTGAATTTGGAGATGGGAAAGTTGCTACAGAAATGTCTTTGGTCTCTGTATTTTTCTCGTCAAAGGTGACACATGAAGAGTTGTCAATTTGACAAGGTAGATTCAGGACAATAGGAGAGAAATATACCTGTGATCACTGCTAATTATACAGTGTTGGCGAATTGTGCTTTAGAGTTAACAGATAGAGAATGGAGCCAATCTCCTTTCTATCACATCATGCATTTCCAGGTTAATTATAACAAATGCTGGATGTAGACTAATGCCCCCTCTGATCTTCACGGTGTGGTTTCCAAATTCCTTATACCAGACAACTTTGTAACCTTGTTGTGTGAGACTGGCAAATTATGAGCCTTATTGGAACTTGAATGCAGTACAAGCTAATTAAGACTCAAAACTGTAATATGATGTTCTGTTAAACCTATTAAGTTAGAGATGGAAAGTGTGAAATGAGGGTTTTATAAATCACAAATGGATGAACTTGCCAATATCCAAACATAACTATTGATTGCTCTTTCAAAAAGACAGGACAGGTTGATGGGGCCAAATGGCCTTCTTTTGTTTGGATTGGAGGCTCTTCACTTTCTGAAGGATGTGTTTTGTGAACTGATGTAATTCTTTCAAGCAGCAACACTGCATTTTATTCGTGGGAGAGAGAGAGAAACTGATTGAACAGTTAGAGCAACATTTTACCCCATGGTTGGTCCCAGTTCTAACCATATTTGCCACAGATACTTGGAGATGCATTTGTTATCCAAGATGTGCCATCTGCAGAAGGCAAATGACACAGCAGCAAGAAGCCAGGCAGTTCCCAACTGGGAGAGGGAATCAAGAGGGAATCATCATGCGTAGATGGTTGAAAAGCAACATTGCAAAAGACCACCAAAGACCACAACATCCCAAATCCAACCTAGAGAAGGCTTGTGACATGATGGGGCTGCCAAATAAATTGAGGTAGACCTACTCTCTTTTATTACCCAAAAACACAAACCTTATCTGATTACATTAACGATTTCAGTCTTCCCTTACATGGTTGCTAGGTTTCAAGGACTGAGAATTTTGCAGGGAAACAGATAAAGATACATGAGTCAGTTTCTATAACAGGCTTTTGCCCTGACTGCCCAGATCTCCACTTGGTTAAGACATTCCAAAATGAACTAGACTTCCAATCTTCGTGATACAGTCCATAGGCCTGACTAACAGTTTATAATAAGACACCAGTCATAACTGCCAAACCATCACCGATAAGGCAGCCCTCAGTAATCTTGGACTGAACTCTCAGAGTTACTGTAAACTCACTTTAACCAGCAGAGCCGTGAGGTGTAGAGATCAGAGCTCTCTGTTCACATTGGTTGACCCTAAGACTTCTGATGCAATGGCCTGTATTGATCTTCTCCAGCTCCCAATATAGGTTATGATTCTGAAGTCGAGAGTCAGGAGTAGCCTTTATGGATTATATGTTGCCACTGCAATGTGAAGGACTGTCAGGGTTATAGCATGTAGATTCAATGTGACACACAGAGAAGATCTTCCACTCAGAATCTATTGCCTCAGGATAAATCTGCCTGTGATTTTAAACAAGGGCAATTGAATATTGATTGTTGTAGCTTTGCTAATGTAAATATAAGTTGTTTCTATTGCTTTCACTAGACCAAAGCTGAGAAAGGGTCATAACTAGTGTAGCTGACACCAAAGGCTAATAAATTTGGACATACTGGGACATAAGTTGAATGGTACCAGCAAGTGAACTTTGACTGCATCCCATTAGGAGATTCCATGTCATTGGAGAGATGGGGAAGGGGTAAGGGAAAGAAGATGGAGTGGAGGGAAATAATATTAAAGAGAACCCTGACTTCTAAACTCTCATTGTATTGATGCGCTATTGAGGAGCAAGGAATGACACTACTTGACTTAGGCAAGGGGCAAAAGACTAAAAGTCCAGAAGTGAAGCCATTCCAATACTGGGCAGTGGCCAGTCCAGCTAAAACTTGTTCTCAAGTATAAAACTGAATGCCCGGCTACTCTAGTCTTAACAAATAATTAGACTCTGCAGTGCTGTTGCTGCAGTGATGCAATGAACAGAATCAGTGGCAAACTTGGAATGCTGTTTCCATCATTTGAGACTAGGAATTAATTGAAAATGCCAAAACCGAGTTGATAGATTTTGCAGTTAAGAGTATTAAAGGTTATAGAATCAATGCAGGAAAATGGAATTAAGGTGCAGGACTTATCTTTTAGATAGTCAGTTCATAAATTACAGAACTGGAACCAATCTTTACCAAGTCTTACATTTATTTACAGAGTTACACATTCCAAGCCCACACCTTCTAACTCAATTATCACACAGTTAGTAAGTGTCTCCTTAAATGTACTCAAGTGAAAGCTCAGTTTGTGCCCACTACCTGTACATAATTAAACACAACAAATATTAAATCACGCTGAGTTTGTACAGACGTTGGTGAGGCCTCTTCTGGAGTACTGTGTGCAGTTCTAGTCGCCCTGTCATAGGAAGATTATTATTAAATTGGAGAGGGTTCAGAAAAGATTTAACAAGATGTTGCTGGGAATGGAGCGGTTTGAGTTATAAAAATAAGCTGAATAGGCTGAGATTTTTTTCACTGGAACGTAGGAGGATGAAGACTGACCTTATAGACGTTCATGAAATCATGAGGAGCATAGATAATTTGAATAGCAAAGGTCATTTTCCTAAGCTGTGGGAGTTCAAAACTGGGTGGGGGGGCTGTATATTTAAGGTGAGAGGAGAAAGATTTAAAAAGGACATGGGGGCAACTTTTTGCGAGGACGGTGGTTCGTGTGTAGAATGAACTGCCAGAGGAAGCGGTGGATGCAGGTACAGTTACAACGTTTAACAGACATTTAGATAATTTCATGAATAGGAAAGGTGTGGAGGGATATGGGCCAAACGCAGGCAAGTGGGACTAGTTTAGTTTGGGAACATGGTCGACATAGACAGGTTGGACTGAAGGGACTGTTTCCATGCTGTATGACTCTATGACTGTATAACATCGATCAGCCTTGAGTAGCAGAACATATCCAAGTGGCTAAGTACCCTACTGTGTTCCACACAGGCCCATTCCCAAGGTCATTCTTGGTTCTGAGACAGTGAAGCATTAGGGAAATAAGAATTGGTCTAGGAAGGTGGGAAATGTCTGTCTTATTCTGCATATTGGGATTGGTAAGAACTACCTCAAGAAATTAATGCTGGGCAAACTATTGGTCAATGATAAAATCCTAGAGGTGCTAAAAAGAAAGGATTTGCCAACTGAAGAGATAACACAGTGTGGAGCTGGAGGAACACAGCAGGCCAGGCAGCATCAGAGGAGCAGGAAAGCTGACGTTTCAGGTCGGGACCCTTCTTCAGAAATGGGTTTCCTGTTTTCCTGCTCCTCTGACGCTGCCTGGCCTGCGGTGTTCTTCCAGCTCCACACTGTGTCATCTCTGATTCCAGCATCGGCAGTTCTTACTATCTCTCATTTGCCAACTGAAGTTAATTTTTATATAAATGTTTCTTCTGGGAAGATGTAAGTTCAAGTTATTAATATTGCCACTGTGGGAACATAGAAACAGGAGTAGACTTTCAGTTGCTGGGGTTTGCACTGCAATTAAATCCTGGCTGATCTGTATCTTAGCTCAATCTACCCACTTTGATTCCATAACCTTTAAGACCCTTACCTAACAAAAATAATTGAATCATTCAGTCTTGCTGTAATTTGCTTTGTGATTAGCACTGAGGATGGAAGGCTGAACTATAACATAACAGAAATTAATAACACTGGAGAGATGGTCACAGCAGAAATTATTTGCAGAAAAGAATAGCAAAGTGGCAAAGCACAACAGAAGTTATATAACTCAAATTACAAACCTAATTATCTTCACAATGACATGCCATCTGATGAACATGATGCTAATTTGTAACCAATTTAGCCGTAACGCTCAAATGAGAGGCTGGTTTTTTGAACATACTAATTAAACAAGGAATCACAATGTTTGGATCATTAAAATTTGAGAAAGAATGAAATTAATCTCATGGCATTTCCGAAAACAATTTGAGGAATTTGAATTAATGATTGAACTAGAAACCTGACTCACACCATCTGAATCAAACTTGCAGTGTTGCTGATGCATGGCCAATTGGGTATGGAGCCTTTTTAAAGGTAACCTCTTCACTCATACATACAACACCCCCACCCCACCAATGATCTCTTGTGTTTACCTCAATATTCATTTGCTACCCAGGATTATTGTTGCTGGGCTGTGGGTGAGTTTGACCACCCAGTCTGATTCACCCAGAGCTCTTGAGGGTGGGACCAACTTAAATTCACCTTCAGTGTGTTGTTACTGCAGGACAGACTTGTTGAATTTTGTTCAGTGCGACTTGGGCTTCCCTTCCAGGGTTGGGACGCAGGGTGATGTTTGCGGTTTGCCTAAAGTTCTGAGGTTCTACCTGTCCCTGGTGTGGTGAAGCATAGGACTGGCCTCATTGCTGCAGAACGCTCCAAGTCACTGGACCATTCTGTATCAACTGTCCTTAGTGGAGAAATTTGCCAAGAAAAACACCTTTGACCACAGGTTCATCAGGAAGTAGTCAGCACGTTAGTGTCCCTGAGACCCTGTGGAAAAAGGAGAGAGTGGATCCTGTCACGTAGTTCTCTCAGCAGACTGACAAAGACATTTGGCAGAGTGCCTCATCACCAGAACTTTCCAACAAGCACCAAGACATCGCTTGGCTGTTGGTGAGAAGGGCACTACCTGTGAGATCCCTCTTGTACGCCTGGTCAGTCTGCACCACTGCTCCTGCTCTCGAAGCAACTGCAGGGGAAGGAGGGTAGAAACTGTCACACGTCTCCTTCTGGAATGTGCCTTTGCAAAGGAAATCTGGAGAGAGATGCAATGGTTTTTGTTGAGATTCGTCCTGAGCAGCTCCATGATGTGGGATTCCGTGCTCTACGGTCTGTCCCCTGGGTCCCACACTGACACAAACATCGACTACACCTGGAAGACCATCAACTCGGTGAAAGATGCTCTTTGGTCTGCCCGAAATTTGTTAGTTTTCCAAAGCAAGGAGTTGACCTTGACCGAGTGTCACAGATTGGCACATTCCAAGGTCCAGGACTACATGCTGAGGGACAGACTAAAGCTTGGGACAGCTGCTCCCAAAGTGCAGTGGGGAAAGACCACGGACTGAGGTTTTCCTGCTGAAGTTAATTGGGGAATAAAAACTGAAAGAACTGCGGATGCTGTAAATCAGGAACAAAAAACAAAGTTGCTGGAAAAGCTCAGCAGGTCTGGCAGCATCTGTGAAGGGGAAAAACAGACCATGAGGAAGGGTCACCAGACCCAAAACGTTAACTCCGTTTTTTTCTTCACAGATGCTGCCAGACCCGCTGACCTTCTCCAGCAACTTTATTTTTGTTCCTATAGTTAATTGGGAGTCTGTTTAGTTATCGGAGTCTCCTAGAGTCTCAAATATATGTAAATATAGTATTGTTTTTTGGACAGAATCAAACTCCAATGATGTAGAGATAACACAGTGTGGAGCTGGAGGAACACAGCAGGCCAGGCAGCATCAGAGGAGCAGGAAAGTTAACATTTCGGGTTGGGACCCTTAAATGTTTGTTTGTTCACTTGATATGCTGCTGTACAGAACCAAACTGCATTTGTGGCAATGTATGCATACAAAGAGATTTTTTTTATGAATAAAGTATATTTTTGAAATTAGAAAAAAGTCAACCTAATGCTCAGGGCCCCAGAAACATTTTTTTTTACATCCTGGGGTTCACCCCATAAAAGTGACTACAAGGATATCCGATTGTTGCCGCAAGTGAACTGACCTTCACTGAAAATGCAAATGAGAAGAGCCATCAAACAGGCTTCCGATCACACTTCTCTCCTCTTCTTTTTTTTAGGGTTTCTTCAGAAGAACGATCCAGAAAAACCTGCACCCGGCCTATTCCTGTAAATATGATGGCTGCTGTGTGATTGACAAAATCACCAGGAACCAATGCCAGCTCTGTCGATTCAAGAAATGCACTGCCGTCGGCATGGCGATGGATTGTAAGAGCCGCCTTTCAAATTTCTGGCGTCTTGTGTCGTGGACTTGTTGTTTGTACTTTGAGCAAAATGACAATGGGACATATTTAAAGCTTTGTCCAGTGAATGAGATTGCTGTGCCAGTTTTGATGGGCATGCCTTCAGCCAAATGCATCTCTTCTCCCTTCTTGCTGCCACATGGAGTAGTTGAGGCAATTGATGTAGATGTGTTTTATAGGAATCTAGATAAACACATGAGGATATGTGAGAATAGGCTGATAGGCTTAGCTGGAGAGATGTAGTAGCCTAAAAGCTGGCATGGACCAGTTGTGCCACGCAGTCTTTTTTGGAAATTGTACAGTCGCTTATAATTTGTCTTTCTTCATCTCTCCATCTGTCTCATGACTTCCTTATTTCTTCCATCAATATTGTTACATCTAGAGTTCCTCAGAATGTTCCAGAAAGCTCTCCTACACTCGTTTCCCCCTTTGTAAAGCCTCCATTGATTCCAATTAACTTACTTCATCATCTCCACAGTAACCCATTCTTTCCCAGAATGTCAGAATTGTCAGCCTGATTTTAACTTGGTTTCTCTGGAAAAATTTAAAGGAGTTAAAATCTCACTCTGAGTTTGTCAGTGTTATCACAGATTTTAAAATCCGAACTTGGTGCTGGGTAAGTTTTACTTATCAGTTAATATAATTCACCTCAATTCCCTTCCTATTTTAGTACTTCTGCTGTTGCCCTTTTATAGATCTTCAGAAGGTCACTTACTGTTTTGAGCAAAAGGTCAAATAAGGAGCAGGAATTCCCCATGCAGCTACCAAGATGTCTCACAGCCCCTTCCCTTCCACTGATGTAAAAACTATTATACTATTAGTTATATTGGCTATAATAATTATATTGTACTCATGTTAATAAATACTAATTCAATAGCTTCAGTACAGGCAGTTAGAGGGGCCATAGTTTGTATATCCAAATATTCTTGAAGGCAGCAGGGCAGGTGGATAAAGTGGTGAAGAAGGCATATGGGATCCTTGCCTTAATTAGTCGAGGCATTGAAACCAAGAGCAAGGAGGTTATTATGGAGCTGCATATAACATTATTTAGACCACAGCTGGAGTGCTGTGTGCAGTTCTGGCTGCCACATTATGGGAAGGATGTGATTACACTGGAGAAGGTCCAGAGGAAATTCACCAGGATGTTGGCTAGGCTGGAGCGTTTCAGCTATGAAGAGAAACTAGGGTTGTTTTCCTTTGAACAGGGAAGGCTGAGGTGGGGGGTGGTGGATTCTGATTGATTTTACAAAGTTCTGAGGGGCAGACACAGTACATAGTGACAAACCTTTCCCTTTAGTAGAGGTGTCCATAACCAGGGAACAGTTTTCCAGGTAAGGAGCAGGAGATTTAGAAGGGATTTGGGAATTTGTTTTTCACCCAGAGGCTTGTGTGTAACTGGAACTCACTGTATGAAAGGCTGCTAGAAGAGGGAATCTTCACAAACATTTAAGAATGAGCACTTGAAATGCCAAAACACACAATGCTACAGGCCAATTTCTGGAAAATGGGGATAGAATAGACGAATGTTTGGACATAATGTGTGGACATAAAGGGGCTTTCCATGCTGTAAAAATTCTATGGCCGATGGGCTGATTGTCTTTCTCCTGTGCTGTGTCATTCCATGCAGGACTATATGTGTTTGCCTTGATTTCGCTGGCACCATATAGAAAGGATTAATCATTGACCTGAAGTGTGCTAATATCCAACTGCTATTGCTATTGACTTCTTTTTATATCCGCCTCTTTGTGGGCAAGTAGGAGTTAATTTAGATGCAGTAACCACCAAACCATTGAATTAAATGTGACCTTTAAGCAGTGGCCAGTTGAGTCACTGCAGTGACAATGTGCCAGTGTGTTCTGCAGAGAACAATCCAGTTAAAACATTGGAATTGACTTGTGTGGAATGGGACTAATCAGAGATGGATAGGACTAAAGGTTTCACTTGGTTAAATAGCCACTATCTGTAACAAGATTGTAACTTTGACAAGGCAACAAAGTAGAGGATCAGTCACTGGAAAAAAAAGTTTTTGTTGAAACCAAATTAAACAGCAAACACCTTTTCAAAACCAGTATATGTGGAGCTGATCCAGGTAATGCAGAACTGTGCAGATTGTCATGTGATAGAGGAGAATTATGGAAAAATTAAGTGTTTTTAATGAGGATTTAGATTTGATAAAGTTTGATCAGCGTACATTCTGATATTAGAACACTTGAGTCCCTCAAATAATCTCACAGGTTTTGTCGTAAGCACAACTTTTGAAGTGAATGTTAACATGCTGTGTACTTAATTAATGTGTGACAACTGATATTATTTGCAGACCTTATTGATTTGAGGAATAAGTTGTTTGTGCGAGCAGACCAATTCTTCCTCTTAGTTTTCAGGGTAAATGTCTTGGTACCAAATCTGGCATCTTTGTCATATTGAGTTCTCTTTTGGGGAATGCAGGGAGGCAGTGCTTTATTGCTTTAGCCCTTCTATATTTTTCTGTCCCTGACTGACTGCCAACTCAAAATGATGACATTTTTCTTGGCAAGAACATGTCCTTGTCCACCAATTGGGTTGAATTTCAGCCAAGACCAAGAGTTATCAGTCAGACATACTGCAAAATCTCCTCCGAAATTGAACTGTTATGTAGATGTATCAGATATAAGTGTGTATATCAGAGAGTAGGGAATATTTGTTCATCTCTTACCTGGAGAGTTCACCTGCTTCCCATGCGGAATGGTAGTGTTTTGAAAGACAGAAGGCAACTATTTGACTCTCCAATATACAATGAGGAATCATTCACTTGGGTTCTAGCTCCTAAACATTTTCCTGTCAGGTGTAGACTGAGTTGGACTCAATTCCAATCTTCCCACCAGCCTGTGCAGACCCAGTGTCTGGGCATAGACATGAAAAATCACAACATGGACAAGGTAACATTGGGTGACCACTTCTTTTGTGACTCACTGTCAGCTGAGTGAGAAAGGCAGGGAATAAACAACCATGCTCCATTCCCTCCAGCCACTTCCCACCACCACCTCCCACAACCTCTGAAACTTATATTTAGGGAGCACTTTTAATGGAATTTAACATTCAAGATGCTTCACGGGGGCATTATAAAACAAAGTATGTCACCGAGCCAAGTAAGGAGCTATTGAAAGCAACCCAAAGCAGAAATCACTTTAGGAGTTCTGAAGAAGAGTCAATGGACCTGAAACATTAATTCTATTTTCTGCCCACAGACTTGCTGAACTTTTCCAACAAATACAGTTTTTATTTGTGTCCAATCTGTAGCACCCCGCAGTTCTTTAATTTATTATATAAGGAGCTTTTTAGTTATACAGTTGTACAGCACAAAAACCAACCCTTTGTTTTGAGAGATCATCTTTTTGTTTTTGTTTAATGTAACAAGGTGATTTGTAACTGAAATGCAAGCTCACAATGCTACTGATTTGGTTTCAACAATGAAACAGAAGTTTATTCGTCAAAAGAAAAGAAGATAAAATAGAACGTGCCAGGCTATTTATATAATACACAATTTGAAACATTTCGAAACACATGATAAAATAAAATCTATGGATCCTGACACTATTACTTTACAATACTTAAATACCAGAGTGTTGCCTCATCTATCACATTTATTGGTTTGATTTAACTTGTTTCTTTCAATTCCTGGTTTGGAGAGCTTGTTAGCTTTTTCCTTGATTAGTAACACAAATGTGTTTAAACTTTCTAAGCTTCAAATAATCCCTTCAGGGTTCTAACTAAACCTTTATACTGAGGTAAGCTATTTTCTGACTGTTCTGAACTACATCCTTTCTCCAGAAGGAACTGTTTTTACATCTAACCTCAAACACATCTTCTTTGAACTGAAATCAAACCTATGGGTATTTCTCCTAATCAATAAAAGAAATCGATTCATTATTCTTTTAAACCAAATGCAAGTTAATGGTTTCAGTCTTTACTCTGATTGTAAAACTTTCATAATGCAAATAAATCCCCACTTTCACTCCAGGAGCTGTTCTCGCTCACACATGCTGGTTTAAAAATCATTGCTCCAGAAAAACTGACAAATGAGTCATCAAACCCTACCCCACCTTATATATATGGCCCAAAACCCACATGCCACTAGTTCAAAATTCAAACTCTAAAGTAAATGGTATCAGTATATATAGATCACACACATTATTTCACAACTGCATGACAAATATGACGCTGATTTGTTCACAAGTGAATTCTGATTGGTCAAGGCATTTATTCACGTCAGGGAACTGTCATCCCTAAACTTTTGTACAAATCCAGAGAAAAGGTAAGTGAGACTCTGAACAGTTGAGATAAACCATGGGATTTGTACTTGTTACTCCTTTTACACCCCTACCCCATTATGATTGCCATTTACAAGTGTTTTGTGAGCTCCTTGGTTCACTCTCAACCACTATGTGCAGTTTTCTCACCGATTATTAACCGCTTTGGTACTTTTCCTTCACTCACTGTTGGCATGGGCTCCCTCAAAATGCCGGATGTGAGGACTGACCGTGAGCTGGTTTCTCTTTTTCATTCCACTGTCTAGTGGTTCTGGATGATGACAAACGCATCGCGAAGAGGAAACTGATTGAGGAAAACCGGGAGAAGCGACGACGGGAGGAGGTGGTGAAGACCATGCAGAACAAGCCGGAGCCTACCACTGAGGAATGGGAGCTAATCAGGGCTGCCACAGAAGCGCACATGACGACCAACGCACAGGGTAGCCACTGGAAACAGAAGCGGAAATTTCTGGTAATGTTTAATGATTGCACAAATGTTAAAATTAACACAGTTTTGCTGCTGCGATGCTGGCGCATCTTGGATTTCTTAGGCTCTGGCAAATGCAGGAAAATGTGGAGGCCTCAGGGAGGGGCCAGGAGGGGTGGGGTTGGTTAACAAGGACCCTGGGGCCTTAGGCAACCAAATTTTGCTTTGCTCAGGGGTCACAAAAGGGACTACACTGAGGTCTTGGTTTCTGTCCCTGGCCTTGCGTCCAGTTAAAGCCAAACTCTCTTACCACCCCAGCAATTTCCCAGCATGCTGTATGCCCAGGTACAACAACTATGGTATCTGCCCCATATTTTCTCCACGCGCAAATTCAAGGAATAAAATCTCATGTCATGAATAAGCAGAAACTTCCTGTACATTATTCACCACATTTAGGTGACACAAAGAGCTACAAAAAGGGATCAGATGCTAAAGTTCACTTGAAGGGCAGCATAAGACTGCTATGTTTTAAAGCAGCTTCAAGCCCTGATTATTTGAAATGCTTCAGGTTCTCCTTAGTCTCTGTGGGAATCACTTCACTGTGTGTAATTCTTTCTTCTGGTTCCTTTCCTGCCTCCAGTGGGGTTTCAGCCAATGGAATGTCAGCTTTCGGGAAGGCCAGCAGATGCCAGTCAGGCAGGTTACGCCAGAGGGTTCCATGTGCCCACCTGCTGAAACTATCATATGTCCCTATTGTGGATAGTGACGCTATACTCCCCCTCAGTAGATGCCTTGGATCACAGAGTGTATCCAACTCTTTTCAGATTTGGGTAAATATAATTAAGAGAAGGCTCGACTACAGCCCTGTGTTAAATATGAGTGTTTATTAAATAATAATAGTGATTATAGTGATAATAATAAATGGAAGAGAAAAGGTTAAAAAAAACAAGTCTCACGCCCTTCAAGAAAAAGCAACAAGTCTCACCCTCTTCTACCTGTTGGGGGCCCCTCGATCGATGGCTGGTCTGGAGGTTTAAGTTCGTTCCTGGCACCGTTCGCAATTCTGAGCCGAGGTAAAGTCCAGCAGCTTGGAACGAAACTCTCTCTCTCTCTTATACAGTGTAACAAACAGCCAGCACAGAAAACAACAGGTATGATAGACAAAAGTGCTGGCTGGTACAGAAAACACAGCTACAAAAAAAACCAAGCTGCAGGTGCCATCAGCCTGTAAAGGAATGTTCACAGGACTCACTCAAGGTCATGCAGCTTGTCAAGTATCATCCTAAACTTCCCGAGCCTATTTTCCCACCCTTTACAATCTATTTTCCCATGCAGCTGTCGAATATCATCATTACCTTTTAATCCTTCGGTCCATCCTATACAGCAGAGGACTGCTGTTGGGTACAGGTTCCAGCTCCAAAGTAGGCCATGACCACACACATACAGGTGAGGCATGACACGTCATGTCATCCTTTAGAAAGGCTTGCATTTGCATGGCGCCTTTCCACAATGCTAAGACTTCCAATAATACTTTGCGCTTAGTGGGTTATTTTTGAAGACTACTCCACATCGCAGTGTTAGGGATGCAGTGGCCAACTTGCACACGAGCAGCTACACGATAATGAGTGGGAACTTGCACAC